ATCTCTGTTTCATACAGAAGGACCGCTGGTGACAGCCATTAATGGAAGTTTTCCAAAGATGATGGTTTCACAACTCATCGTTTGTCTCTTTAGCAGCCACAGTAATTAGTGATGGCATTGGCATATGACAGAGACAATACATGCCCCTTGATGTCCAAAGACGCCTACGCTCTAATGCTTTCAACGGCTTAGCACACATCTAGAAATTTTCAGGGGTGCATATGTGAAAACTTAAGACACTTAAAAATCCGAACCACAATTCAGCAGATCTCACGATATCCCGCGTTTTACAGTTTATTGCATTTTCATTGTCAAATTCTGCGATTCCGTCCATGTGAAAAAAGCTTTAAAGCATTACTTATGTGTGCAGGAATCTCTAGCATTATTTGTGTAAGACTTGAAGGAAATGGACATTGTACGTCAATAGCACCCATAAGCCCAGCAGGACCGCCTCACTTCTCTGATATTTGTAAATAAATATGACAAATCTTATCAGGAGAAACTTGTCTACAATTATTACACACTAAAATTGGGTCCTATCTTAGGTGAATAAGCATGATTTTCTCCTCTCACAGACGTAGAATCCGCAGTAGAGCAGAGTAGTTTCCCTGGCCTCCCCATGAAGAAGAGCAAAGTGGGGGGCCGGTCATTAACGCATTGGTGCCTTTGAATCCGATGGTCACTGGCATGGCTACAACCTCTCAAATTAGTCGTGGTTCCTTGGGCCAGGACAACGGCGTCCAGGGTCACCCGCATGCCTGGCATTCCTCTACTGCTTGTACTGACAGCGGCTGCACAGAGCACCTAGAAAAACAACGCTTCACAAGCATTTCGTGGAAACACACAACTGGCCCTCAGCAGCTGGGGAGGGGGGCAAAAATACAGTGCAGATGAAAGTAAGAGACAAATATCGACTTCCAACAGCCTCTGTGGAATTTGTTACAGCTTTAGTACCTCGATAAAAAAACACCACAATGTTTCTGGTGAACCCTAAAGAAAAGAGGAAGCTGGGCTCCAACTGTGGTCTTGATGAAAAGTCCCATGACTATTGCCTTTCTGTGAAATATTACTTCCTGATTTGTGTCTATTTTTTTCAAGAAGTGCTCTTTTCCAACCGAAGAGCGCTTTAGCTATTGCTATGTCATTGTATGATTACAACCCTGAACCCTTGAGTTGATTTTACTGGACCAGTTACAAATAGTAGAGTTTCAAAAAGTGGCAATGATGATGCCGGAATGGAAATTTGAACCTGCTTTGGCAGTAGATAAAAATTGTAAAAAAAATAAATTAATCTGCAATCTGTAAAAATTGCTTATTTTTCATTCAGAGTTGCTTGAGCCTGTGACTTCGCATTATAAAGCATGCTTACATGCACACTGCTGGAGCTTCAAGTAATGTGAAATTTAATTCTGATTAAAATGCAGATTAATTTTAGAGTTATTTCACTCTGAAATGCAGAAAATTGTGAGATTTCCCTGAGCCTAGTGTGATCTTTTGATGTTGCTTGTGTTTGGTCCCACCAACATCATCACCCACACCCAAACCACTTCATTTAATGTAAGACCGAAAAAGAGGTGCCAATACCATGAATAACCGAGTATTTAAAGTAGCTATTCAGCATCACCGGTAAACACAAGCTTACTAGCAGATGAATCAAAACAAATATATCCTTTCAGCTGAAGGTCCACAGATATTTCCTGCCTATGTTTCTGGCATGTTTGGAGGCAGAAGACAGATTAAACAGGCACGCCTGCCATTGCCACGGTGGTTTTGTCCGTATTTTGTCAGTTTGAAAAGTCGGGAGCCAGGCTGTGGCTGTGCTCTCACTGTGCGAGTGTGTGCAGTAGTTTTAGTAGAGCCCGACCAATTAATCGGCCGGCCGATAATATTGGCCACCTAAGCATACCAAGTGACTATCAGTGACGGCTAATTTTGACTGCAGATGTGCACTGATATTACTAGATTTATTTACAAGTCAAATTGCATTTAATTTGAGTATCGTTATATTACACTAGCATTTCTCTGTCACCAGCAGAGTGAGCTATATAGATTACAACAAGCATCATCACTCTCCAGAGTGTCAGGCAGTGATGCACGAACACGCACAGTTACTTTCCAGTTGAGTGACCATCTTGTGTTTCTTATATATTTTTTCCACAAGTGCTTTATAGCTGCACTTGAGGGATCAACATAATACATGTGTCAAAGATAGATAGAAGAAAGATATCAGCTGGTATATCGGTATCGGATTTTCTCATTCCCAGCCTGTAATCATACAGTGTGTGTCCAACTTTAGTGATATTGAAGCAATTTCGAATTAAATCTTTATTTAAAAAATTGGTATGGTTAAATTTTATTCCATAGCAAGCATAGTAGCATCCTCGGAGTAGTAAGAGCTGAGATAACATCCTGTACTGTCAGGGACAATCAGAATTGATTCAGTCTCCCTTGACAGTGGCTTGCATTGGACCCAAAAGTGCTGACACAACACTCATCCTTTATACGAGCCACTCAGGCTAAATGTGGCCAGTTCACTTGCAATGCCTAGAAGGGGCTAGGGGAGGAAAGACTGGGAGCAGACAAATGAAACTGGAGGGTGGGAGGGCTGAGGGGAGAAAGGGAGAAATGAGTGACAGAGCATGAGGATGGATCCTGTTAGGCAGGAGGATGACTGAGGCTGGAGGGATGAGGAGAGTAATAGTGACACCACCTACTTTAGCCCGCTCCCAGCACTGGGGTGTGCACGGAGTGAGCAGCGCAATGCTGAATGCGAATAAAGCTAGAAGCAAGTGTGTGTGAGCTGCAGGGGTGTGGTCGTGAACACGGCAGAGCAACGTGACATGTAAAGGTGTAAATGAAGGTGTTCTCGGGTTAGAAATATCCATCCTGTCAGAATATACCTAAAATCTAACGCAGAAGCGTATTATTCCATCTGACGTGCGCATGAGCATTGATTCCTTATTTTAATCTGTGTATCAAGTTATCTGCATTTCAAATATAGGCTTCTTTTCTGATGTTAATGATGCAGCTCCGGCCATGACAATCCTATTGCTGGACAAAGAAAGCGGGATTCCCACCCTTCTTGTGTGTCCTTGAGACAACATATCAATTTAATAACCAGCCTGCATGTGAGGGAGCAACGGGGGTATATGAGGACACGGATGAGCTTCCTGGCATGACTGGGTTCTGCTGAGATCTTTATGTATGCTGTTTGAAGAGCATGCTCCTCCACTCATAATCAGGCTCCCTCTCCCACTCTCTCCCTCTCTCTCTCTCTCTCCACACAAAGGAATGTCACACAAAGGAAATGCGTTGAGTGTGCGAGTCAACAGGGGAAAAAACACTATCGGCTGTTTGTATCAGCGAGTGAAAGCCATACCTTTTTTTTTTGTTTTTTTGTTTTAATGTGCTGACTACTGAAACAAAGGAAACACTTCCGTTACATATTTTTAATTAAAAAAAAAATGCATGCATCGTAAGCAGTCGCGGTGTATCAGTGCCTTTCTCTAATGAGGAGCGATAAATGCCGAATACAATTCACACATGTGAAGCCATTCTGCACATCAGTAACCATAAACACCCCCATTTAACAAGACTGGGTTTTCCAAAAGACCTCCGTTAATCCGGCGTGAATGAAAAAACGCTAAACCAGTCTTCCTCCACTGCAGTTACAGACCCTGAACCCAAACTATCACTACAAGGTTGATTACTGAAATGAGGTGCTGCTTAGAAGTGGGCCAACCAATCGAGAATAAAAGTCGTCAACAAATGTGGAATTAAAAATCAAACTAAACAGCGTAAAAGTGTCACCTTTTGACTGGAGTTTGGCGTATGAAGGCGCGGTGCTCTGTGAAACTGGGAGGATGAAGTGCATCTTTTGACAGCACACTACGGGACAAACTCGCTGATGGTTGATCCTCTTTACTGATAAAAAAGATAATTGTATCGCACACTATCATAAAATCTGTAAATTCCCAGACAGCGAAGCGTCGTTTTGACATTATGAAACACGACAAAGGTAACATGTCGAAACTCTTTTGTAGTTTCAACACTGCTTATCGGAAGCAGCTAAGAGCTAAGTAGGCTAACGTCGTTGCTTTGGGTAATCTGACAAGACAGTTTTAACAACAAATGTAAAGTGTAAGAGTCAACTTAAGCTAACTAATTATGTAAGAGGTGAGACAGCATGGGGATGAAAAAAAAAGTTATCACACTTCACAACAAACACTCGGGTCGAAAAAGTCAGAAATTCGCTGTTATCTCTAGGAAGTGTGCGAAAACTTATATCCAATACATGTCCGAGCAAGATGTCACTGTCATATACCATCTGTGATAACATCAAAAAAAACTTGCATCCAATACACGTCCGAGCAATACGTCACTGTCATACTATCTGTGATAACATTAAGTGACATGAGGTGCACACCAGAGATAACGGTTACCTGTAAAAACACAGAGCCACTCAGCCATGACACAAAATAAACTTTTGAAGTGCAACAACCACTTTACCCCCCCCCCCCCCCCCCTACCAAACTCCAAGGGGGCGAATGCTTTAACCACAAAGTAGTAAATGAACAACCAGTGCTTCACAAAAAGCAAACATCCACTCGGTGATGCTGCCAACTTTGTATTTGCGAAACTGAGGACTGTTCCTCCGGACGGACTCCACTGCTCTTTGTTGGCAAAGCATATTCCAAAGACCAAAACCCAGCCGAAGAGAGGCCAGCTTTGGTTCTGAGCTATAGCCCTCGGCCCTTTTAAGTCCAATGTGACTTTTTGCTGCCTGCTCCTTTTTTTCCCAGACAATAAACATTCCTCAGACAGGCAGCAGCAGGCTGGCCACCGACCCTGCGCCATCTTAGTTAGACACACTCTGCTTCTTCAGGCTTCTTGAACAAAGAGCTTTTCCAGCGGAACTGGTGGGACGCAGGAGTTTAACTTGTCAGGACGAGCGAGAAACACAAAACACTAGTCCGCGTTGTCCGTTTAAGGGCACTTACCGTTATTTTCTTGTATCCTTGTCCAGAACAGGAGGACGAGCAGAAGGCATGGTGTTGCATCCATCGTGGCTACGGACCAGACTGGCAGCAGACTGCTAACTTCTCCAAGCGCTGAGAAAGGTAGATGCTAATTGGCTAATAGAGTCTCAAGACCCGCCCCTTGAGTGCTTCCTCGTGTGATAGGCGATGCCGATTGGCGGAGAAACCTGCCACGTCACAACCCACTGGAGATACTCTACCACTGCTGTAAACAAACACTGTTGCTATTCACTACAGCGACAGAATATTCATTTATCAGTTTAAACTCATATTACTTCTTTAATACATTTTTTTAATATAAATTACTGAATCTCGTAGCCTATAGTATAAAAAGAAAACTCCTAACTAATTCCTAACTTCTATCTTTTCAAGTGCCTTGACATTTTTACTTTCCTATTTATTTGAAAGAGATATTCTGCTATGTTTTCTGAAAACCTTATTTAGTCAGACGCTAAACGTCTGGGTTATGTATAAATCCTCTCCACACAGACTTACCATAAATAGAAACCCCTACAGAAAAGAACGTCTCGGTAGGGAGACAAACACTTTTGTGGCAGAGGATGACAGAGAGGAAGGTGACACTCGTGATTTTTTTCAGACAGAAAGAACATGTCACAGTGGCTCAGACTGAGGGAACATAATAATAATAACCTCAAACAATCAGAGATAGCAGTCTTACTGCTGCTTCCACCCTCCCAGATAAGATATCCTTAATGACATGCTGTGGCTAGACCCGTGTGCATTGTCCATATGTCAGTCTTTCACACACAAACACAAGTACACACACAAACACACAAAGACAGATGCCTTTCACAATATCAGCACCTTACACACACACACACACACACACACACACACACACACAAACATCTTTCACACATTGTTCCAAAGCCTATAACCCTCCCTTTGTCCTGGCCACGTTTACTCCATTGCTTCAGTAGCCACGCTTACACACATACACGCACGCACTTGACCTGGCCCCCACTCCTCCTCCTCTTTTGGGTGTAGACACACACACACACACACACACACACACACACACACACACACACACACACGTATATGTGCACGCCCGCGCATGCATGCACGCACACACATCCAATTTACTCCCTGGAGAGTGTGACAGAGATTGATGATGGCCTATTATTTGATGTCCAACTGAGCCCTGCATGGCCGTGCACACGCACACACACACACACACGCTGCTTATGCATATTTATTGGAGAATGGAGGATAAGAATAAGACTGCAGGTCAAATGCTTGGAGCAACATATAGATGGGTAAATAATGTGTTACAGAGAGACAAAATCCGTAGGACCTTATTCAAAATACAACAAAAATTGTATTGACTCAAACAGATGTTACTGAATTGGAGGAACCTTGGGCACTCATCCCCTAAACAGCAATCCATTCACACACAAGCACACACACAAAAGGCACCACCTGCTCTCAGCCGTAATGAAATGTAGTTCAAGTGTGAGTGCTTTTACCGACCTGATCTGCATTTACAATTGTGGCATTTAGCTGACGTATTCAGGAAAGGCTGAAACTTTTAACAACAAAAACTACAAGCAACCAGTAAATAGTGTAAAGGTCAGAGACAATCTTTACCTGAGCACAGAGTGATGTTGCAAAGAAAGAGGTGAAGGGAAAATAATTGAAGAGCAGGGATAAAAAAAGTAACTTTTGGAGAATAAAATCACAAATGTGGTTTAAGGAGTTGATGTAAATATACCATCTTCACATTTTCATCCCCTCTGGTGATGTCTGGAGTGGGAAGGTCAGATGTCTCTCTATCATCAGGAAGGACAGGAGAGAGCGAGCACAGATGACAGAGGCTCTGTTTCATTAGTCATTATAATATGTTCCCGTTGGCACTCTCATACAGGAGAATATCTGCTGCCATCTTAAGTGCTGTTCCATTAGTCTGAAACCTCGGCTCCCCTTCCTGAGACCTAACCTTCAACCTGCAAGAGTGTGAGTCAACAACAGTTTAGCAGTGAATAGTAAATCACACCCAGAATGCATTCACACATACAAACACACGCGCAATGTTCTTGTGCATGAAAACCCAAACAGTCCCATATAGAAAAGGTATCGAAAAATGTCTATCAATTGAAACATCGATAGACTCTCCCTGTTGTTATGCAAATAGTTTTTCATTTAAATTGCCTCTTAGCACTAATGATGCTGTTGTGTCAAGGAGGATGTAGAGTAAAGACGCTAAGTAGAATAATAGTGAATAATATAAGCACAATAGCTGCTGAATATTGGCCATTTATGTGACTATTTGTAACATTGGTCCCTGCCAATAAAATAACTTGGCAGACTGCAATGAAGTGTAGAACTCGTGATGCCCTAAAGCCAAATCCACAAAAAGTAATCTACTTGAAAATAAGCATTGAATTGATTAATTCGGGAAAAATGAAAGTGTGGTTCTAAAGAAAATTGGATTTAGAAATATGTGACACAGTTTTGGTTTTGATCTATGTCAAACCTCCAGTATGTGGATTGGCATAGTTTTGATCCGAAAGATTATCGATAATTCATAAACCTAATCTAGCAGAGGGACAGATTCAGGGTGGTTGTCGATGAGGGGCGCCGGTTTTGGTCAGTTGGTACCGCAGAGTCTCTGAGAGGCTACAGATGCATGTCCCGCAGGTTCGACCCCGTGCTTCCACCCTTGCATGTTGGCCTTTCTTTCACTCCCTACGTTTCCTGTCTCCAGCTGTCCTATCAGCACAGGCAAAAGGCCAAACAAATGAGCTCTGACAAGTTGAAGTTAAAATTGTTACAGGGTTTTGTGGACGGCAACACTTTTTAGTGTGTGAGTTTGCAAATTTGGTCGAGACTGGAATATAAGTATTATTTTCTGGCTTTCTATGCCTTTATTAGAGAGACAGGACAGTGGATAGAGTCAGACACCGGGGATAGAGAGAGAGTGGGGAATGGCATGCTAAAAAGAAGCAACAGCTCTGATTTGAACCGGGCTGTCTGGACCCAGGACTTTAGCCTCTGTACATGGTGCCTGCAAACTAACAACTTGGCCACCGGTATTTGAAAATATATTTGTATGGATTTTATAGAAATTTGGCAGATACAATTCATGATTTTAATAAGTATGAATAAGTATGATTTTGCCTTAGCTTTTTCTCCACCACTGGCAATTTAGAGCTTCACCTGTTCAGTGAAATTTCTCAACATCTGCTTGATAAGCTGACACAAACTTAACTGTAGACATTCAGAGTAACCAGAGGATACATCTTATTGACTGAAGAAATTGGACAATTTTGCTTTTGAGGCTTAGAGATCAATGTCTGAATGACTGTTGGGTTGATTTCTTTGTATTGTGGTACAGAAACTCATGGTCCCTGGAGGATGAATTGTTGGAACTCTGGAATACTATTTGTGTGGAGTTGAACTGAGCAAGCCTTAGCATGCTTACATGAATAAGTTAGATGGAAACATCCATGGGATTTTTACCTTCTGATGCCATTGTCTTTGTAAACTGCTTATATTATTGACCTTGTGAACAAACTGACGCCTTCTTCTGTCGCCTTTATCCGTTGGCTAACTCCTCCACCACTTTCTTTCGGTGCATATGCAGCTGACCTCTGCCTGACCGAGAAAACCGACTCCTCAAGAGATCAGCTTTGATGAGATGTCACTGCACATTCAATCAACTACCTCTTCTTTCCCCTGTGTATTTTAAGCACCTTTAGATCTGTTCCCGCACAGCACCAGGCCTGGAGCTGGCACCATCCATCTTTCACACATAGAGCGTATTTGATTCATTACATTACTCAGGCTGGAAACGTAGACATTTAAAATGAAAAATTAATATATACATTGGCATGACTGAGGGATGATGAGAGCTGGAGAAAGTTTGAAATCAAAGGGAAAGGATTTGATGTGGATTTCTAAAAGTATGATACTCTAAAACACTGTTGGACAGAAAAGAAGAGATGAACAGTTGCATGCTCTCTCCTCACTTAGAGTTTTTCTGGTGTTTATTTACTTTTGATATATTTAACAAAAATGAAACATTGGACACTTGATTAACTACTTTGTTTTAAATTAACATTTGTGTTCTGTCCTCTGCAGGTATTCACTTTGTTCCATTTGGTTCCAAGGTCATTAGTATTGAAAATAAAAGTGTTAACACCTGGTTTATTGGAATCAAAATAGACTGCAGCTTATATGTTACGTTTTTTTTCTTCTTTTGAACAGGATCATATTTTGTTGATGGAGCAGATTTTCATTTGTTTTCAACATATTTTGAAAATTGGATTTTGACTTAGGGCTGTCAAACGATTAACACTTTTTGTTTGCAATTAATCACTACATTTTAATAGTTAATCAGGATTAATCAAATTTTAATTGCAGGTTTGAAATTCCTGCATTTAAAAATAAAAAATGTTAGGCTTTTATTTAGAATTTTTATAGAGTACCTAGATTGTTTGAATTCAACCATGCTTTTATTTTGAAATAAAAAAAGGACCCTCTGGTAATGACATTAACGTAACCATGGAAAACGGAGCATCATATGGCCTAGTGGGTTTGTCTCGTGCCCCATGTACGGATAGTCCTCATCACAGTGGCCTTAGGTTTGAATCCGACCTCTGTCCATCCCCCACTCTCTCCTCCCGACATTTCCTGTCTGCTTATTATTTGTATCAGAAAAAAACATGCTATTGATGTGGAATAAGAATGCAATAAAGTCGGTTATATGATGAAAGCTTCCTGGGTCCTGCTTAGTTCGTAAATGGTATTCACTAAATTGTAATGAAAAAGCACGAGGGGTCAACTTTAATATATTGAAACGATCTGTTCATCCTAATATTCTCATTAAAAGTGTTCGGAAAAAGCCTAAAAAAAAATGTGTCCCTTCATCTTCAAGATTCAATTCATATATTTCAACTTCTGCTGTCTGAATCATGAGGCCATTATTCCTCTGAATTTATGACAGAAAAGTAGATTGATGGATGCATTACTCTGTGCATTAATATACCGTTTGTTGTTTTCATC